AAAAAAAAAAAAGCCACAAAAAAAAATTTTAGATTTTATTTATTTATTTGAGAGAGAGAGCGCTCTTCTGTGGATTCTTGCAGAGATAGTCAATGCATTTGAGACAGAGGCTGTTCAATATTTGTTTTTCCCCACAGATGATAGGGTACCTCGTCCTCTACACCCCCTCCTGCACCTTGTGTGTTCCTCTTTAACAAATTTCTTGACATCCGATTCATTACTGAAACCTGCCCTCCACCCAGTTCCTCATCTGTCTCATTCTATTTGATGTCTCTCTGTGTTCTGTTCCGTGGATGTGGTTTGTTGACTGATTGAAGGAATGAATTACTGGATAGACAGATGTCCAGCTGAAGAATTTGGACTTTATCCCAAGGGAAGCCACTCAGAGGGTGGGGTGACCAGGTTAGAGCCATGCTTGGGAACGTTCTGGGCTCTTTTCAACTCTGGGGCTTTGCACGTATGGCTCCCTTTGCCTGGAATACTCTCTCCCTGGGCTTGGTCCAACCCTTTGCTATCCCAGCTGGGATGTCCCCTCCCCCAGGAAGCCCTCCCTGACCCCCAGGTTGGGTCAAGCATCCTTTCTGGCCTCCCCATCCCTGCCCTGGTCACTCTGTGTCATCACCTTCTGGGGGTGCGTAGTCTCCCTTATTTTACCGTGAGTCCCCAGAGGACAGAGCCAAGAATGTATTGGTCACCGGCACCACCCATCACAGGCCAAACATTGAGCTCAGAATAGATGATGGTCCCTTCAAAGAAATGCCTCTGCTTGGGGAGGAGCCAACTGCAGGGGTAGCCATGGTGTCCCATAGGGGTGGAGGGCACAGGCTGGGGTCAGAGACACCTGAGTTCAAATTCCCTGCCTAGGTAGGGGGTTTGGGCTACAACACACCTCATGTCCCCAGCTGCTTCCAAATCAGTAAAAAAGTAGAGTGTAAGGTCTCAAGGATTAGTGGAGATAAGATAATGTCTCTCTCTCTCTTTTTTTTTTTTAGATTTTATTTATTTATTTGACAGAGAGAGACACAGCGAGAGAGGGAACACAAGCAGGGGGAGTGGGAGAGGGAGGAGCTGACTCCCCGCTGAGCAGGGAGCCCGAGGCGGGGGCTCGATCCCAGAACCCTGGGATCATGACCCGAGTCGAAGGCAGACGCTTAAGGACTTAGCCACCCAGGTGCCCCGAGATAACATCTTTTCAATAACAGCATTTCAGACAAGGTGGACGCCTCTCCTCCTGCCGCCTCAAGGCTTTACACCTGCTCTTCCTTTACCCTAGAATGTTCTTTCCGTATTGAAGGCTCCTTCTTGTCATGCAGGTCCCGTTGCAAATGTCACTGCCTCAGAGTGGCCCATCCTGACCACCCCACCTCTTTGCCATACAACACTTCAGCTTTCTCCAGAACATACCCTCTGGTAGGCTAAGGTTATTTCCCTGTCTCCCCTTACTAGAATGCTGGCAAGGAGTTTTGTCTGTCTTTCTTTCGTTCTTTCTTTCTTTCTTTTTTCCTCACTGCTGAATCGCCACCCACTGAACAGCACTTGGCCCTTAGGAAGGGCTCAAGGAATATTTGTAGAACAAATAAAGTGCTCAGGGGGGCGCCTGGGTGGCTGAAGTTGTATTCATTTAACAAACTCCCGCCCAGCTCCCGTGTGCTTGGTTGTGTGCTAGAGAGTGTGGGCACTAAATCTACACGGTGGGTACCCACGACATGAGCGTAGGGGGCTTCCTGAAGTAGTTGAGGATGGGAGGACTTGGGAGGGGAGAGACACCGAAAGGAGGTCCACACCACATTCCAGTGTGCCTGGGCGACACGTCTTCAGAGCCTGGGCAGATCTCAGCTTGCCTGGCACCAATGCTTGAGATCCTCCAGGATGTCACCAAAAGTTCTCGAAGCCCCTTCCCAAGTGGGTCTGGGTCTGGGGCTGCAGTGACCAGGACGGAGAGCTTACCACCAGGGCCCAGCAGCCCCCAGAGCTGGTCTGAGCCCAAACCATGTTCTCCAATAACAATAACAGCAATTACAGGAATAGTACCAGTTAACTTTTTAAAGGGCTGACCTGCACCCTATCTAAATGCTTTAAACATATGATCTCCTTTGATCCTCACAGCACTCAAGGAGGTGTGATCTATTCTTCTTCTTCCCATTTTATAGGTGTAGAGACTGAGACTCACAGAGGTTGTGACTTGCCTGAGGCTCCAACAGCTGCCTCGGGAGGACGCTTCTGAGGTTATCACTGTCTACAGTCTTTGAGCAAATGCCAATGCGTGAAATGTCCTCGGAGAACAGGACAGCTGGGGAAGGAATTAGGATTTCTTTTTTTTTCTTTTTTAAGATTTATTTATTTATTTTAGAGAGAGAGGGAGAGCGAGCACGAGCGGGAGGGCCAGAGGGAGAGAGAATCTCAAGCCGACTCAGCACTGAGTGCCGAGCCCCATGTGGGGCTCAATCTCACGACCCCGAGATCATGACCTGAGCAGAAACCAAGAGTCAGATGCTCAACTGACTGTGCCACCCAGGCACCGGAAGGAATTAGGATTTCAGCACTGCCAGGAGGAGTAGGGAATCGTGAATGGTGACTGATTCACTGGAAACGACTCAAATGACCAAGAAGGAATTTAGGGAGGCAACCCAATAGGTAGGGTTAGGTACTTGGGAGGCAGGCATGCAACTCCCAGCCTCCTCAGGTGTGGCCTCAAGGCACGTGACTTCCTCTGGCCCTAAGCCCCAGTTTTGGGCATCCAAAGAATGGGTATAATAGGGGGACCCACCTCACCAAGCAGTTATGAAGATTCCAGTGAAATCAGGCCTATGCATTTGTCAAAATCAACAAATGGCGTTTACAATCTGCATTTCATTGTATGTGTATTTTACCTTAAAAGGAAAAAAAGGGGGCTCTTGGGTAGCTCAGTTGGTTAGGCGACCAACTCTTGATATCAGAGTCCTGAGTTCAAGTCCCACGTTGGGTCATGCCCAGCATGGAGCCTACTTAAATATATATATATATATATATGGAAATATTTGGTGAAAGCATGTGTAAAATCATTAGCACAGTTGTTAGATTGAATTCTAATTTTTAAGGGGTGAATTGTGAATTACATACCCAGGGGAAAGTGGATTATAATCCTAAACTAAGAACTGCTGTTATTGATGTGTCGGGTTCTGAACTGGGAACATTTATTTAAAAACTTTTTATTTTATTTTATTTTTAAGTAATTTCTACACTCAACGTGGGGCTCCAACCTACAACCCCGAGATCAAGAGTCGCATGTTCCCCGGACTGAGCCAGCCAGGCGCCCCTGGAACATTTATTTTTTAAACTATTAACATTATTAAATAAATAACTCCATCTAATTTATTTATTTATTTATTTATTTA